AGATATTTCTCAAGATTTTCATATTTTTTACGTACCTAAAAGTCTTCCAAAACACATGTTTTCAAGTTCAATTCAAAGAGAAAATTCATGTACATGTTAGGTCAATAGTTCAGGTATAAGATGGTGTGAAAAATGTTAAATTGAACCAAAAAAAGTGAAGGAAAGAGTGCAAAGGAGAAGAATCAAAGTGACAGCTTTGACACCTCTCAGCATTTTGATCATAACTGGAGGTACACTTATCGGATTGAGATGAATTTTATAGCATTTCGAAGTTAAGACATAAATCTACATTTCTTATGAAAATATCGAAATTTAGTTCATGCATTTTCATGGTCAAAATAGCAATCACAGAAGCACAAGAAAGCTGTCGCGTCATATCAGGGCATTTGAGCAGTCTCGAGAAAACGGCTACAACTCAATGTAGAAAAATCGAAATCGAATGCCGTTGGTTGCGTTTGAAACTAGACTCAAAGGGCTTTCCAATGGTATAAAATTTAGACTCTAATTCATTTTTAATTAATATCAGAAAATCTGACAAGTTGACTGAAAATGCTCTCTGAGTTTCAGTTCATTTTGCAAACTTTCCAACAAGAAAACAATGAAGAAATTCATAGTTTTAGTTCAAATTCAACATACAAGTAAATAGTGATGTATTAACAAGTTTCTTGAACAAGAACTTGCCCAAAATTATTTAAAAAAGTGGAAATCAAGGCTAGAATATCTTCCCCTGTTTTGGACAGCAAAGGCAGAAATTTCTTGCAAGAATTTTCCAAGCATTTCTCCAACAAATCTTTCCAATTTTCCCATAACAAATCCATGAACATATCAAACAATGTATAGCCAAGATTGTTAGTAAGAAAAACCATGAAAATTTGCACATAAACAACCCTTAACAAAAGATCAAACACTTGGTGGATATAGAGATTTCTTCCATTTTCACCAACAAATCATTAGAAATATAACTCAAATCCTCAAGGGTTTCTTCAATCATTAACCCTTGGATATTAAGAAACAACAATCCACAAATTCTTGGCCAAAATTTTCAAGATTCAAACATACAAGAGACTATCAAGCTTCTAGTACCAAAACTTCCATATAACTTTCAAATCCACCATAAGTTTTCCATATATAGCATAAATCCACCAAGATCTAGTCCAAAGTTGCTCGAAAAATAAAATAATGAAGTAGATTAGCCACTTACCTTTTCAAAGTTTCAAACCCTAGCAAAATTAAACCAAGAAGATAGCAAGATCCACTCCTAGGAGTCTTCTTCTCTCAAGATCTTCTAAGGTTTCAAGTAGATTGGTGAAAGGGTAGCTTGGATCTTCAAGAATCTCAAGAAAATTTGAAGTCTCTCACTCTCTCTTCCTCTCTTTATTTTCAGCCAGCCAAGGAGAAGAAATGAAGGTTTTGGGTTGCTTTTGGAACTAATATACATGCCACAAGAAGGTTTCTCTAAGTCAACTTTGAATAGTGTCCCAAATAGTGTCCTCTACTTAAGTTTTCTTACCAACAACCCTTAGTTTTTCTAACTTTCTTTAACTCTCAAAATCTTTCTTAACTTCACTAATATCTCAACTTATATTTTTCTAGGGTTTTTGGCCAAATTCACTAATAAGTCACAAAATCAACAATTTTCAAGAAATTAAACGCTCGAAAGTTAAAATATACAAGTAAGAGAAACTCGTTTAACAATTAACAAGTAAATCATTAAATGAATGCAAACTTTATAAAAATATAATTTAAATAAAAATATAAATAATTGGGAGGTGAGAAAATAATTTTCTGAGTCATCACAATCTTGAGTAAAATATGGTATTTAGATAATAAGATTAGGTGTTAATGATGAGGTTTGCATGACCTTATGTGTTTTGAATTTGAATCTTTTTGGGAAATAGTTTGAGAACGGTTGTAGTGCTTGAAGGATTGCAGAAAATGCAGCAAAGCTTTGACTAGCTTTGTGCATGGAATTTTTAAAAATTTCATTTTCACCCCGCAACTTTTGCATAATTACATTAAGGCTCAAAAGTTTGTGAAAATGAAGCAAATCTTTGATCTTCTTTTATGTATTTATACATGTTTTTGAGCATATTATTTTCAAATTTTAGGGCATAATTAAGGCTTAATAATTTTTGATAGATTTAATGTCCTGTTGGATTTTAGTAAAATGAGTTAGGCTTTGGGTAAGGGTTTTTGATTGGGTTTTGTTAAAGGGTTTGGTTTTAATTTTTTGGGTTATGAACATGGGTTTAGGGGGATAAAACCGGTGCATTTTGGTTGGGTTCACTTGGTCAAAATGACGGGCTGGCCCATCCTTTTTACCTTGGACTCTTTGTTGGGCCAAGGGGGCTTTGGCCTAAAGAAATAATAAGAATGGCCTGTTGGCCTTTTGTTTCTTAAGAAACCCAGATTCGAAAATTGCAATTTGGTCTCTGTTCTTTTGAGAATTTCACTATGTCCAAAAAATGTTAGATTTCTTTTAATTAGATCCCTAATTTAATTATAATTTGGTCCCTAAACTTTAGTTTTGTTCAATTTTGACCACTTTATCTTAGAAATAATTATAATTTAACCCCAAAAAATTTCTCAAATTTTGCAATTAGGTCCTTAATATTTTTGATTTCTTAAGTATAATTTGTCTATTTTCTTTAATTGTTAATGATACTTCATTTAAATGCTTTTAATTGGTGGATTTCATGATTATTTACATTTTTCTTTTTAATTATTAATTAAATTGGTACTTTGACCATTCTGTTCATTTTGGAGATTAAATAGGATAAATTCCACCTCATTTAACCGCTACTTCAAGTGAGGCACTTTTTAGTGTTATTTTAAGTCCTCTTATGTGCTCCTATATGTCTTTTATGTGTGATTACATGTTCTGTGTGCTTTTTCTTGTATTTGCTCATTTTTATTCATTTTTATTTATTTTATTTAATTTTTGATGATTATTTGGAGGGCATTTAAATGCCAAATTGTAATAGATAGATGTTCAAGAAATGTACTTAGTTAGACTATGTTACAGATAGGTTTTATTTTTATCAAAAAAATGTAATTAGTTAAACGAATGTAATAATTAGGTTACTATTTTTCAAATTCCTCCCCTTAGATTGTAGTTAGGGTCCCACATGTAATAATTAGGTCTTTATGTGCGCTTATTTGCTTGCGTGCTTGCATGCTTGTGTCTTATGTATTTACTCTCTTTTTTTAGGGTCTTTGCATCTAAATATTATACTTATGTGTTATGTGCTCTATATGCTTTATGTATTTATTTGCTTTAATTATATTTATTTTATTTATTTATTTATAATAAATACATGACGTCACCACATTAGTCTATTGCTAGTTGTGGTCTATCTCCCCGATTTCTCACTAGTCCAACATTAGTGAAAAGTTATAGACATGAGTTAATCCAATGTTAGACCCTTAGGGCCGCCTACACACTAGAATCACATGTTTGCATGACATTTATTGCATTCTATGCATATTTTCAAGGTATTTTTTTCATCTTGTATGATCTTTCCTCTATATGTTATCTCTCTTATCCCTATGTGCGTGAAATATGACATTTAGACTTGCATTCCATTTAAGAAACTAGAAGTTGGATAATTCACTTGCTTGATTAGGTTAGGAGAGTCATCCTTCAAATATAAAAAATGAACGAGTGAGGTTTTTTAATCTTAGCACGCTCTCATCCTCTCTATAAGAAGAAAAATTGAGTCACAAATTTTAGCATTTCGTACCCATTATGTTGCATTCCTCCTTTTTAGGATCTGTATATTTATATATTATACATTTTCTTTTCTTTAAATCTCATTTTTTGCATATTCATGACCTCTTCAAAGAATCACTCTTGGGTATCGCAATTAATGTGATTGGTACCAATTAAATTTTGAGAAGACATTCCAACCCTTTTGATACCCCTAGGTCTAGATTCGCATCCATATAGAAGCATCCTAATGTGATAAGTTTTATTAGTTAGATTAGAAAAATTTTCGACAAAATATCGCAATTAACATTGGTTAAGTTGAAAGGGTGCTTTAGATTTGATCCTATCAAATTTTTATCTTCCCTTTATTCAACCGTGACTCCTGAACTCTTTTTTCTCGTTTTCAAAGATCTGGAGTCATCTAAAAAGGGTTTTAGATGTTTTTTATTTGAAATACATTTTAGATGATTTGGTACACCTAAACTCGATATCAAGTGGCGACTCCTATCTTTTCTTTAAAATCCTTTTTAAACTATTATTTTAGGTATAAACCGTCGCATATTTTAAGTCCCATTTTAGGACCTTTTTCTTTAATTATTCTATTTCTAAAATCAATAAATACATTTTTCAACACCTAAATTTTATTTTTCAAAAAATGTGGCGCGACCCAAAATAATGAAATCTAGGCATGTGTTGAATCCTCTTCCTTTTTCCGTTGTGCGAAAGCAATTTCACACGCTTCTAATGCAAAATTGAGGTTAATTTTGCTTTGTGTAATGTCTAGTGAAATCTTGTCCGAATGTATTCTTCCTTATTTTCTAGATTTGGAGCCTTTGTCCTATGATTTCATGGTTTTTGTTCAATTTCGATATGAGATGTGGGTTAAGGAAAATCAAAGTTGATTGGGATAGGATTTCGATCCCCTCCTATTTTCTTGCCATCTATTTTACCCATTTATTTAAATCTTAGTCAATAAAACATGACATAAATTAAAATATTGAAGCATAGTCCAAATTTCTGATTTTTTTGAATAATTTTATTCATTTTTTCTGTACAAGATATTTTACCATCCAATTACATGGAGCCTAAATGCTTCCTAATTGTTGTTGAGACAAAAAAGAATTGTTTAGTGTTCGCCAAACAAGCAAGACTACAGCAAGGCCCAAATTCCACAGGGCCCATATTAGCAATTTATCCAATATTAATTAACTTTAGCGGTTGGCCATTTGGCTTGATGGTTGAGGGTAGATTAGGCAATTCAGTATTTGGCATGTAACCCTAAATATTCATTAAATTTCGATAGCTTCTTCAAACAGAAGCGGTGCAGAGGCAGCGGCGGCTTTCTCAATCCTCAGAGCTTCTCTCTTCTCGGCCTTCATGTCTCTTGAGTAACCATGATGGTTGTGGGTACAACAATGTTTTTTTGCAAATTTAGATTTGGCTTTAATGCTATCGATGAATTATGCGTTTTTGAGGTGATATATTGTCGAATTCTATACTGATTCGATCGCGGTTTCTTTGTATAAATGGTGGTGATTAATTGTTACTGCCTCTTGACATTGATCAGCAATGATATTAGCTTATCAGTTATGATATCGGCTAAGAGTTTTTTTTAATTAACGAATGAGAAGAAGATGAAAGTGTTTAAGGTTGGATTTTGATAGATAATGAAGCTGAATGGAGTTAAAGTTGGATTTGGATGAATAATGATAAAGAGGCATATATATTTGAATGGATATCAGATTTATTTGGATGGCTTGTGCAAAATATTGTATATATGTACATGAATTGTAAGAGGGGAATTGATTGTATGCTGGCTTTGATTACAAATAATTTGATGTATGAATTTTTGCAAATTGTATAGTTATGTATTATATTGTTGTATTAGAGAAGTTTTAATGAGACTTTTGTTTCTTCTTTTTAAGTCTCAAACTAAAGAAACGAGAAATGAAGGATGTTGCAACTAGTGCTTGTCGGACTATCTTGCAATCAAGAGCTGTTATTGTTGGTCGTTTGCATACGAATTTCTGGAAATATAATTCGGGCTTTGGTTTTCTGTTAAACGTTTAGGCAAATGGGCAAAATGACAATTTGCGTGATTTAGTTTTCCTGCCAGTATGTTTTCAGGCATGAAAACAGGGAGAAAATAAACGGCAGCATAGTGTTTTGTACAGAATCTCATGGCCAAATCTGCTAGTCCTCCAGCGCTTGTTCCATGTTGCAGGCATCTTGAAGTTGAACTACAACTCTTTTGGTGTTTGCAATTGTACTATGCTATAAAAAGGTAGTTACGACCAACTAGTTTCTCCTTTGATCAGCACTAAAAAGGGCTCAAAAATAGATGCAAATTTTCTTTTAAAGATCAAAATGGTATTGAAATGGAATTGAATCTGCATTTTCACATTTGCAACATTATAGGCAGAGTCATCATGAACTTGTATTGTTAGTGCTGCAGCTTGACTGTGCGTTTAAAAGTTCCTAAATCAGAGAACATTTTGGAGGCTTTTGCCATTTGAATCTTACGAACTCCCCAAGAAATAAATTCTGCAGAAGATTCAACGTTGTGTAGAATCAAGAATGAGGTAAAATTGCATTACAATCTCCAACAATTGGACCAATACTTAACTGAGACACTATAGTACCAAGTTTGATGTTTGCATCTTCGTTAGATGAACAAGTTTTCCGGTTAGCCCATAACTGTTCCTTGAGCGGCTTCCCCTTTTATACTCATGAAAATTACATCTATAATTGTGGTTATATTATTCAGTGGAGAGATGCCTTGATTTGGGTTATATTATTCCTTTCAATTGCCTTAATAGTTGATTTCACTTGACTGATAGTTAAATTGATTAAATGACACAAAAGTTATACATTAGGGCCTAAAGTACAACATGCGTCCAATTCTTTTTATTTTTATTTTTATTTTTATTTTTTCTATAGTAGGAAATGGATGGAATTTAACAAGTAGGGAGAAATGGGATTTAAAACCAAGCCCTTTAAGTATTGAAACTTCAATTTTAACCACTTAATCAAGAGTTCCTCGTCCAATATGTGTCCAACTCTTAAGGAACGTACTGTAATTCCGAAATGGTTATAATTTTAAAAGCTTTTAGCATTTGCAGATTTTACACAAGATCACTGGGCTACCATATTGATCAACTATAATATATTAGTTTGTAGGGGCATCATGCGATGCATGATGTTGGCTAGATGAAAGCTATAAAAAATTTTGCGCATATATAAATGGAACACAGTATTCATAGATAAGTGAAGCTTGTAAAGCAATAACAGTGTACTAATGTACCAAATTTGAGAGTTAGCAGGAAGTTTTGAAAACTAAAGGCGTGGAGGACAAATATATTGTAGACATCAAAATTTTGTTAATGTTAATGTATTTTTAAATTTTTTCTATTTAATGAGTTATTTATTTTTTAATATTTTAATACAAATTTTTCTTATATTTGCAAGTTCGTTTTAGGAAAAAGTAAAAAAGTAAAAAAAATAAAAAATTAATTTTTGTAAAAATAAAGAGAAGTCATCATAAGCCACCATGAGCCTTCATGATGACTCATGATCGCCACCACCTTTTTTACCAAAGCACACGAGAGAAAGGAGGAGGGCTTCTTAAATTTTGCTCTGGAGCTCCTCACTCGGGGCTTTTCCCTGGAGCTCTCAACGGACAGAAGAAAAAAAAAAGGAGAAGCAAGAGAAGACGGGGAGCTCTGGCTCCCTCCCTTGGCTTAGGCTGCCAACAGAAAACAGAGAAGAAAAGAAAAATTTCCAGCTGACTACACTACACAAAACAAGAACAAAACTCCACTCCAGAAGACTCCCTCTCGGCTCTCCTTGTTCTCTCAAGAAAAAAAATTTTCCTTAGACAACAAGAAGCACTCTTACTCTCACCCTCGGCTCTCCTCTCTCCCAATATTTTCCCAACACACTTGCACACAACGAAAAGGAGGCAGCGATCGATTGGGCTATTGGAGCTTGGCAATTTCATCAAAAACTTTGGCCATGAGACCAAACTCTTCATTGAGGTATTTCTTGTCCTTTTTTCTAGCTTTTCTTTTTTTTTTTTTAATTAACTAGATTGAATGTATGTGTGATTGCTTGTGTGTTGTTTTATTTTGCTGGTTTTTTTGTTGTTGTATCGGTGAAATTTGGGAATGTCATAACCAGTTTAGGAAAAGAAAAATGATTTTTGTATATGCATGTTAACTGTTTGACAAAATGCCATAATGAAAAACGAATTAAACTAGTGAATATTTTGTGCTTATTTCTGGTGAAATAGACGGTTGTAGTTAGTATGTGGTTTGAAAAATGTTGAATTATTTAAGTATTTTGAAGTTTTGAGCATTAGAGGCATGTAATATATATATATATATATATATATATATATATATATATATATATATATATATATATATATATATATTCATTTTGGGCTGTTTTGTTTTGATTCATGGTTTGTTGTTGTTTTCTTGTTAAACTAAGAACATAGTTGCATTGTAGAAATCACAAGTAGCGTTTTGGTATAAAATATACAATTTTTTGGTGAGATTTTAGTGATTTTTGGGAAGCAAAACTGTGACTGTTTTTTGGCCTTTTGGCCACTTTTGGTTATTTTTTGTAAAATCTAACTTAAAAAATAGAATCTACGCCAAAAATCGAGTGGAGTGTGTATTTTGGTGAAATTTGGCAACCGAAAAATTCACCGGCGGCCACCATGGCCACCAACTGAAGCTTGTTCGGTAGGCCGGATAAGAAGAAGAAGAAACGGCAGTGGAATGAAGAGAAAAAGAAGAACAGAAAGAAAAGAAAGGAAAGAAAAGAAAAGAAGAGAAAAAAAATGATTTGGGCTAATGTTTTTTTTCTAGTGGACTTGTGGTTATTTTGATTGGGTTTTGGGGATGGGTTTTGGTTTATGTCTTTTGGGTTTCGGTTTGGGTTAGGAGGTCAGAGTCCATGCATTTTTTGGTTGGGCTTGAGTGATCAAAAGACGGGCTGGCCTGCTCGTTTCTCTTGGACTTTCGGCTGGGCTTAGGTAGTGTTTGGCCCAAAGAAATAAAATGATGGCCCGATGGCCTTTTCCTTGCCCAAATCAGAAACCAAAATTTACACTTTAACCCCTGATCTTTGGATTAGTTTTATTGCGGCCCAGAACATTTTAAATTTCTTTCACTTAGGTTCTTAAGTTAATTTCACTTTGGTCCCTGAACTTTATCTTTCATTTAAGTTTGACCCTTAAACTTTGGAAAAATATATTTTTGACCCTAAATTTTTTTTAATTTTTGTAATTTAGTCCCTAGTGAATTTTGATTCTTTTTATTATGATTATTTCTTTTCTTTAATAGCTAATTATGTTGCTTTTGAATATATTTAACTTGTAATTTTTAGATGTTCTTAAGTTTCTTTATATTTGACATATTAATGTGAATTTAGTAATTTTATCATTATTATTACTTTCAATTAAATTGGTGCCATGATTCTTTTGTTCATTTTGAGTATAAATAGGGCAACTTGACTTCCATTTAGTCACCACTTTAAAAGGGAGGTACCCCTATTATTATTTAAATGTCAATTACGTGCTCTTATGTGCTCCTACGTGTTCCTATGTATTTATATATTTTTATATGTTTTGTTATTTATTTGATTTAAATGTTCATTCCAATTTTCTTATATTTGTTTAGTTAATTTTTATAATTATTTGAGAGGCATTTAAATATCTCAAAAAAAATGTAATAGATAAGTTTACTTCATCGTATTTTTCCATTTTAGATTGTAGTTAGACTCCCCGTTGTAATAGGTAGGTTTTGTATGTTTATGTGACTTATATGTTATGTGTTTTATCCGCTTTTCTTAAGATTGTTGCATCTAAATATTATGTTCATGTGTTATGTACTACGTGTTTTTGTATGTATATTTGTTTTAATTTATGCCTATTTGTCTTATTATGTATTATTAATGCCTGACGTCACCATACTAGTCCAATGCTAGTTGTGGTTCTCCCTCCGTTTACTTGCTAGTTCAACGCTAGTAAGAATTTTTTAGAAATGGACTAGTCCAATGTTAGACCCCTAGATCGTTCGTGCGTTAGATTCATTTTTGTGTGACATTCATTACATTTTCATACATATTTTATTTTAGGATCTTTTCTCATTTGCATGATATTTCCTATTATATTATCCATTACCCCCTATCCTCTATATGTGTTAATCATATCATTTAGAATTGCATCTTATTTAAGAAATTGTGGAATAAGTTAGTTCATTTGCTTGTTCATATTAGGAGAATTATTCTTTGAACATAGATATGGGTGATTATAACTTTTTTAGTTTAAATGCCCCATCGATCTCTGTATAAGAAAATTATGTCACGAGTTTTTACCTCCCGTACCCATTATGATGCATCCCTATTCTTTGATCACTTATATCTAGATATAAAATTTAAATTTTCTTTTCTTTTCTTTTCTTTGAATTTCATTCATGCATGCTTGTTACCCCTTTCAAGGGATTATTTTAGATTTCGCAATTAATGCAATTGGTATCGATTAAACCCTTGAATCCTCTCGACGTTTTTATAAATTTAGATTTGCGTTCATGTAGGAATCATTAAATTGTGATAAATTTAAGGGTTAGATTAGAAAAATTTTGTCTAAACCTCGCAACTAACTTAGACTGGATTGAAAGGGTGTCTTAGATTTGAGTTAATCGAATCTTTGCCTTTCCTTTCTTCAACCGTGAATCGCGAACTCATTTTCTCTTGTTTTTCAAAAATTTTTGTCGAAAAGGGTTTTATTTTATTTTATTTTTATTTTTGCCAAAAATATTTTTGGGATGACTTGGTATATCAAAATTCAATACCAAGTGACGACTCTTAATTTTTCTTAAAAATCTTTTTAAACTAAATTTTGAACCTAAACTGTCGCATTTTTTAAAGTCCCATTCTAGATCCTTTTTCACTTATTTTTTAAATAAAATCACATATTTTGTAAACACCATATTTCCATCGTGAAAAAATGGGGCGTGACTCCACTTGGCGACTCTTACATCTTTTCTAGAGTCGCCAAGTTGTCGCGCCCTATTTTTCGCGATGAAAATAAATGAGGTGTTTATAAAAGATGTGATTTTATTTAAAATTAAGTGAAAAAGGACCTAAAATGGGATTTTAAAGAATGTGATAGTTTGGATCCAAAATTTAGTCTGAAAGGGTTTTTAAGAAAAAGAGGAGTTTCCATTTGGTATTGAATTTTGGTGTACCAAGTCACTCGAAAAAATATTTTTAACAAAAAATAAAGTAAAATAAAATAAAACCCTTTTTTACAACTCCGGATCTTTGAAAAACAAAAGAAAATGAGTTCGGGCGTCACGGTTGAAGAAAGGGAAGGCTAATGTTCGATTAACTCAAATCTAAGGCACCCTTTCAATCCAGTTTAAGCTAGTTGCGGGTTTAGTCAAAAATTTTCTTAATCTACCCCTTAAATTTATCACATTTGGATGTTTCCAATATGGATGCAAAACTAAATTTATAAAATATCGAAAGGGATAAAATATCCATTCAAGGATTTAGTTGATATCAATCGCATTAATTGCGAAGATCAAAATAATTCCTTTAAGGAGTCACGAGCATGCATGAATGAAATTCAAAGAAAAGAAAATTAAATTATATATATAGGTACAAGTGACCAAAGACTAGGGAATGCAACATAACGGGTATGGGAGGCAAAAATTCGTAACATAATTTTCTTATACAGGGATTAATGGGGTATTTAAACTAAACAGTTATAATCACCCATTTTTCATGTTTGAAAAATAATTTTCCTAACATGAACAAGCAAATGAATTAGCTTAAATGAAATGCAATTCTAAATGACATGATTAATACATATAGAGGGTAGCGGGTAGAGGATAGGAAATATCATACAGATGAGAAAAGATTCTAAAATAAGAATATGCATAAAAATGTAATGAATGTCACACAAAATGAACCTAACGCACGAACGATCTAAGCGTCTAGTATTGGACTAACCCATTTCTAAAAAATCCTTACTAGCGTTGGACTAGCAAGTAAACGGAGGGAGAAGCCACAACTAGCGTTGGACTAGTATGGTGACGTCATGCATTAATAATACATAGTAAAATAAATAAGGTATAAATTAAAACAAATAAATATGTAAGAGCATATAACACATAAATATAATATCTACATGCAAAAATACTCAAAAAAGCGGATAAAGCACATAACATATAAGTCACATAAACACGCAAAACCCTATCTATTACAGTGGGGAATCTAACTAAAATCTAAAATAGAAAAATATAATGAAATAAACTTATCTATCCTATCTATTACAATAGGGGACCTAATTACAATCTAAAATAGGAAAATATAATAAAACAAATCTAGTTATCCTATCTATTACATTTTTGAGGTATTTAATGCCTCTCAAATAATTATAAAAATTAACTAAACAAATACAAGAAAATTCGAATGGACATTTAAATCAAATAAATAAAGCATATAAAAATATATAAACACATACGAACACGTAGGAGCACGTAATTGATATTTAAATAATAATAATAGGGATACCTTTCTTTTGAAGTGGTGACTAAATGGAGTCAACTTGTCATATTTATACTCAAAATGAACAAAAGAATCACGGTACCAACTTAATTGAAAATAATAATAATGATAAAAAATACGAAATTCACCTTAACATATCAAATGTAAAGAAATTTAAGAACATCTAAAAAATCACAAGTTAAATATATTCAAAAGTAATATAATTAGCTATTTAAGAAAAGAAACAGTCATAATAAAGAGAGTCAAAATTCACTAGAGACTAAATTGTAAAAATTAAAAAACTTTTGGGGTTAAAAATATAATCTTTCCAAAGTTTAGGGGTTAAAATTAAATAAAAGATAAAGTTCAGGGATCAAAGTGCAATTAAGTTAAGGACCTAAGTAGAAGAAATTTAAAATATTCTGAGCCGCAGTAAAACTACTCCAAAGATCAGGGGCTAAAGTGAACATTT